TGGCCCAAACCAGAGTTTAGCGTCAGTCTGGTCCGTTTACCTCGCGTTGGCGTTAAGTAAAATAATTCAGTTGAGACTGAGGGTTGAACGTACGCTTCGAAGAGAGAATTTGTCATCGATAGGGGCGAAACGCGGAAAAGTGAAACGTTCAGTCGCAATCGGGCCGCCTCCGATAGGAAAGTTTGAAACACAGCGCCGGTTATCTCGCCACATATAACCCGATCCCGAAACAAGTATCGTCAGAAATCTGTCCTCCGGGATTCCCCGGGCATTCGGCTGACTGGAACCCGCAAGTTCCACTGACTCCAGGGGAGTCCATAAAATCTCGAATGTATTTTGCAACGGCAGCAGAAAGGAATTGCCTCGGTGTCCTCGTCATTACGAGCCAAGTCCTCGGGAAACTACGTTCCCCGGGTCTCGAAAAATTTCACCGAACTCCCGAGTTCTTTTAACGGTGAAACTTCCGCGCGATACCGAGCCACGTTCCTCTTCTTCTAACTTCGCCACCCTTCTGGTTCTGTGTATATCCGGTTCTCGTCCCGCGCTAAGAGGGATAAGCAGAGTGTCGAGTTGATAAGCGAGACCACCCTTAGAGTTCCCCTTGGTCCCTGTAATCATTTATTCGTTCTAATTTCTTGGCACGCCTTGGAACAAAGACTCGAATAAAAAAGAAATATTTATTTTATTTAAAGCTACCCTCGCGTTAATTATAGGATTTTATCTTCGTTATTGTTGTTACTGGACTTCCATGAAATTTGTTTCTTGCACGTGTTTTTCTTGAAACGTGACGGATCGATCAGGAAGAAATTCATATCGATCGCAAAATAAAATCTAAAAAATGGACTCCGAAGCAATGAAACTTTAGAAACTTCGAAGGGAAGTTTTCGATTTGTTCGAGCCGTGTTTTACTTAAATTCGCCGGAGGGTGTTCTCGAATCACTTAACACGCTGTTGTGAATATTCTATAGCACTGGAATTTTTTCCAAGTTCGAAATAAAATTTGAAGAATACTCGACTGAATTGTTTTACTTAATGTTGATTTTTACCAAATTGATAAATAGAAAATCAACTTTCCTTTGAAGCATTTAAAAGATAATGAAAAGTAACTTAGAATAGCTATATATTTGCTATGATTTAAAAAGATGTCCAATGATGGCGTCTTAAATATTACATTCCAGGATATTTAAGGACGGGAATTTCTGCTTGAAATTGTCACAAACGAGCGTGTATGCATTTTAATTAATCAAAATGTGAAACACGGTAAAATGGTTGAATTTAATCGCGAACTTTACAGCGTAACATTATAGTAATGACGCCAAATATCTTCGATGAAGTGTATTATGTACTATCAACGTATCGTGCGCAAGATAACGAGGTACCGCCGTCATATCGAACGATCGATATAGCGGTGGAATAGGTGCCTTTAAACGTGCCCATGTAAACGAGATATATACATATACATCATCCATCGACGTAGTCCATGAAAGAGCAATCGACAAGCGTCAAGCGCGCTCGACTAATCGCGCGATAGTAAGTAAAGGACTATTCAGCAATTATTTGGTATACATTTAATCATTCGGTGGACCGTAACGTCCTAACGCCGTATCAAAACGATATCACGCGCGGAAAATATACGCGTAATTAGTACACTAATTAACGCGAACGCTAAATACTGGGTTAAGGATCGAATTCTGCAATATTGTTTACCTACTAATTGAAACGGTCCAAAACGTAAACTCGAAAGCAATTAATATAATTACCGTGAGTAAGTGGAGCTAGAAAAAATTTTTCGACGATTTTCCACGGTCGAAAAATGGAAATAGCGTAATTTCACCACGGTAGAGGAAGACGTCGAAGACTTAGAACCGACAGGAGCCGATAACGATGACCCTGGGTTTCACGTAATTCGATAAGATCAAGTGGTCTTGGAAGTTCTCGGTTCCTCAGGGAGTTCCTAGAGATCTCCAGGTAATAGAGATTCTAAAGATTCTCGTAGGTCTTGATTCTCCCAAATCGGTCTCTTGGACCCCCGGAGACTGGTTACCAGTGGAACCCCTAGGACATCACAAACCACCTCCAGGAGTCTCCGAACTCCTTGGACGTCCGAAAACCCTTGAAACATCAGCTCTCTGGCCTTCGATACGAAGTCCCGCGAGTCGAAAAGCCATCGGTATCGGGTTGTACAGGCCGCTCGTATCGATCTCCGATGATCCACGGTTATCAATATCACGTTTTACTCTCTCGAGATCGTTGATACAGCTCGGAGGATCCGAGGTCCTCGCTAGAAAATCCCACGAGCCTCAGTTTGTCGCTGCGTGGTCCCTGAATCGTCAACCTAGTTTCAACAGACTCTCAAGTATCGAACCAAAGTATAACAGTATACTACTGATATAATAATCATTAAAAAATCTGGAGATGATTGTTCTTATAGTCAGACAATGTAGAGTTTAAAATTTTCGTACTTTTGAAATAGAATTTGTTGACTCTAGAGCCTAGTTTGTCCACTAGGTGGTTCAACAGTCTCTCTCAAATATCAGGAATATTGAAACTATTTTACGAGATAATGAAAAGCCAGGAGATTATTTCTCTTAGAGTCAGACAGTACAGAGTTTAAAATGTTCGTAACTTTGAAACAGAATTTCTTGGCTTTGGTTAACAATTTATAGTTGAGCTTCGTTGTTGAATACATTAGGTGCGTTCGATCCAATAAAAAGGAAAATCGTGGAAGTTAGGAGCCCTTTATATTTCCAATACAGTCACAGACTTGGACGAAACAAAAAGACCTGCCTAATGACAATGGTCTGGACATTCTTCTGGCAATCAATTACATTTCCCGCCATTAATTACGCTTTGTCTAGATTCCAAGAGCAATTCGAGCGAAATTCCTTTCTTTATTTCGCCGATGGACGGTGGTGGCCCCGTCGAATAGTACTTGCGTGACCGTAAGAGCCGTTTCCGGCCACGGATAAAAATGGAGCAAAGCCAAAGGAATGCCACCCTTTTTCTTCCCTCGTTCCCTCTTGGTTCTTCGCGCAGCCGGCTTGGAGGACGAAAAACTGCAAGGTTGGGCTAATTGAGCGGGGACTCGATTACGAGTCAGTCTCTCTGTGTTTCTCTAAGCCACACACGTACCACAGAAACCACCCTGGGGGGGTTGACTGGGTTGTCCAAGACCGTGCCAAGCAAAAGGATCGTCCCGTGCCGCTACCGAGTTTCACCCCTAACACGCTCCCTGGCTTTTTTCGCGGACTTTCATATTTCAGGCCACGGATAAATTATACGAGCATTTCGTAACAGACGATCTCACGCCAAGAAAAATATTAAACTGTCGTATTGGTTCGTGTACAATTTTTTACTGGGGGGGTAAATAGATCAGGAAAATGGAAAATAACACGTCGACTGTCCTGACCAAAACTTCTTAGACAAACGTGAACTACATAACCTGAAATTTATCGTATTTACTTTTAAATTAGTTAAAAGTCCTGTCATATATAAAATATTAAACGTTTCTTTGCTAATAGCGACTCTGGTTGATACTTCAGTTGCAAGTTTTCATTTCGATTTAATCAGAGAAATTCTGAGAATGCGTCACAAAGGAAATTGTGCTTATATTTCGACCAGGTTCGGGAAAGTTTATTTAGAAAATGAAGCGTTATGACAGGCAAAATTTCTAATAAAAGAATGTGGATGTCAATTTCATCGAACGATCTATATTAATTTAAACGACCGACCTTGAGGTGCGAGATCTGTTAAGGTCTTTTCTTAGCGTGACCGTGCTTGTCTTGGAGCCGCCCACGGCGTGAAATTTTCGGCACATCGTTTCTATACGCGAGGAACGATCGATGGTTTCATCATCGGGTCCAAGGACAACAGAGGAGAAATTGGAAATGAACGATAACGGTTAAATTGCGAAAGACCGATGTGCGTGTCGCGTGGAATAAAGAAAAGAGGGTGGCAAAGGCATCTGGGGAGATTGATGACTGTTACGATCGACGGTTGCGAGATGAATGTAGGTATTTTGTATTGTAATGTATATTGAGCCGCGTCGGTTATTTATTTTTGAAAGATCAAGTTACCCCGATGCTTTAACAGCATGATTTATCACTGGCGCGAGAGTGCTCAATTATAAATAGTCTATCTCGGTATAAATAACTCGAGCTCCCCCCCGTATTATTTCGACGAAATTGCGTTACGATTATTAAACGTTTATTTTTACTTCGTTAAAATGAAATTTAACTCGTCGAAGCGCTTCCGGGGAAAAATAGAGTGGAAAAGGATGAAATATTACTCTAAAATTTAGAAAATATTGATAGCTTCGAATTCAGTTTTTTCGAAAGTGAGAGCACGATATAGAAGAGTGTTCTATACATATTTTCGACTTAGTTTCACTCGAGATATGCAATTCCGGAATCGGGCTGTATATTTGTACATAAGCGTGTGAAATAATTATTCAATACTCAATTGAATATTCAACGCACTGAATCAGCTATATTCCATTAATTTGTAATATAGCGTGCAGGCCAGCATCGTAATCGGACTTACAACCCGATAGATCCATTTAATATCGCGGTGTTACGGTAGAATAATTCCTATTTCAATCAATAGTAATTCTCTCGCTACACCGTTTCTTCTAACTTCTTCGTTGCAAGCTGATTACACTATTTTGATATAATCCGGCTGCCAATGGTTAATCGTTCCATTTAGTTTCACTTTGTTGAAATCGAATTTTGCCTCGGGGGAACAATACATCGAAATCAAACAGAATATTCTACTTTTTCTCCTCTTCGAGAATAAAATGGTGCCTTTTTCTGCAAAGTTCCTTTCCAAATAATCTCTGAAACCTGTGACACATCACATTTGTTACCAAATTTAATAAATACAATAAAATGGAGACGAATCTTTCGGACACCTCGATAATTGGAATCTTAAGGGTGCAATTTCGCGTGTCGACGGTCGAAAGCGAACTTGCGAGTACATGTTTTGTCGTAATGTGATTACAGACGATCGGCCAGGAGCTTCCATGAAGACACCACACCTCAGCGACCATGAAGACTGATCGCCTGCCAATAATTGCCAAGCTCTGCGCGCTGCTGACGCTGTTCGGTCCCCGCGATGCCGTTGCGCTCGACATACGTGAGTAACATTTCACGAACGACCGTCTATAATTGTACTTCGCGACGGGCGTTCCGCGATACGTTATTTTTAATTACTTATTATTAATTACACGTCGCGCGGGCACAGTACGGATTCACGTGTTTTATTCAGAATTCAATCATTCCCGCGCACTGTTACGTATGGCCGGCGAATTTTAATAGACCATGAATATGAAAACGACCGTCACGCGGATACAAATTTCATTTTAAACGACGCGCCCGCCTCCCTCCCATTCGCGTCCACGGTGTCACGAAACATATTATACTCGGCAATATCTATTAAGTGTAGTGAAATTTGACACCGGATTCAATTATTACGGCAGATTTCCGTGGCCGTATCTATCGCCTGTTAAGCCTCGCGCGCGCGCCGCGTAAATTTCATCAATCGCGAAATACGCTCGATGAAATTTACGAATAATTTACGAACGCGTTAACGAAAGATTCGGGACACCATCGATCGAGCGAAGAATTGCCCTGTTCATCATCGAGGTTTAAGGAATCGATTATTCTACGTATTTCAGGAAAAAATTATTCAAACCATTTTATAAAGAAATTCAATTATTTTTTCTTTAAGATTGTAAAACAAACATGAGAAACATGTCATCTGTGATTAAAAGCCAGAGTTGAGCAAATTTTATGGACGATTAGCAAATAAAATTTCTGGGTTCATACTAAAATTAGATTTAACGTTGCTCGTTCCAATATTCATAAATGAAATAGAAATTATCTATTGGAAAAAATTGTTCATCAAAATTTGCTCGATTCGATTGGAAGCAAGTCTTTATTAAATTCAGAACTTACGACCATCCAATTTTGGAGGTCACTGGGCGACCAGAGTTCGAAACTTACAGCGTTTCTTTAGAACAGTTGGAATGATCGAATTCCAATAGTATTATTGTTATTAGTGAGTCCCTGAGCAAGTTGTACAAATAATGTGGAGACCCAAGAGAGAACGTTCAAATATACTCGGAGTCAAGAAAAGTCCTCGAGTACCTGATCTTCCGTGATTCGAAAAAGATGAGGAAGCTCGTTGTTCTTATAATGCCCCGCAAGTGGTATTGCCAGGGGATAGAGAAATGTTCATGATCCTTGGATCAAGAGATTACAGGATCCTTGACGGAGCTACGATCCATAAAAAATGGCATCGAAGTGTTAGACACTTGTATATTTTATAATTTAAACAAATTTCAAGAAAAAAACAATCTGTCTCCGAGCAAGCTTTACTGACATCTTAAAGAAAACAACCCTTAAGGAGACGTGATATTTGACAATATTTTTACAGCATAAGGGTTTGACGAAAACATTTAGCCACTTTCCACATGTATTCTTTACCATTTCAAGATACAAATATTTTTTTTTCGTTACGTTTTATCGCCTTGAATATTATTCCATATGTCGATGACATTGGATTGATACAAGTTTCTGTATAATTATATTATAAAAGAAACTCTACTCCTTTGGATTGAGTTACGAAACAATAGTAAAGGATCTACTAGCAGTAAGCAAACTGTACTGACATCTTAAATACAACCCTCAACGACGAATTAACCCTCCAATACGCAATTTTTTGCAATTCCCCGGACACAAAGCCACGTTTCGCGAATGGTATTCCGCCATTTTTTTCGAAATTGAATCCGCGAATGGCTGCATAAAGAACAAGAGTTTGGCGAACCGGGTCAGAAGAGGGACGGAGGGTTCCTGGCAACGAATTTTCCCCCAATGTTGCAGCTGCGGAGAACTCATTCCCCAGGCTGAGAGCAACCCGTTCGAAGCGTACCCTTCTGTCTTCTGCTCTTCCCGCCCCTCGTTGAGCCACCCCCCGTCCAAGGCCCGTGGCCGTCAAATTTTTCATCGGGAGCAGGTGATCTCCGAGTTTTTATTTTCCTCCGGCCGGCTACGGCGATGGGGGTGCCATCAGTCTGAAGTAATGACTCGCTATTCCGCGCCCGCCCGGGGGATCAATTACTTTGAATCTAATGCGACAGGATAAATTGCATCCCGCGGAAGGCTTCCTCGCGCCGTTCCGAACCCCCCTCCGTTCGTCGGCGTCGCGCTCGAGCAGACCCTCGGCGAGAGCAGTCGATGGCCAGGTCGACGGGACAGGGGACGATTTTACGCCGGAAGGCAATCCGCGTCTTCGGAAAACAACCTCCTCGTTACCGGGTTTCTACATCCCATCTCGTAGCCCGACAAATTGCCAATAAGCAAGTCCCATCGATTGCTCTGTCGGCGTTCCATGTATATTAAATGTACCGGGCTGTTGGCAGGCTTTGATTTTTAAACATCGACCTGTACAACGGCGCGCAATATTACGCTCGGTCGTTTCTTCTGCATCAGTTTTTGTCGGTCCACTTTTAATATTAAGCGTCCTCGTTATAATACGAAGACCTTGGTATTCCTCGAGCATTTCATCCGCGAGAAATAGAAGAAAAACAATTTCGAACCTATTGTGTAATTTATAAGAGAACGTTAGTGACGGAAAATTGAATATTTCTCGACCACGAAAAGTTCTACGAACCCTGTCTTGCAAAAATATAATATTCATGGAATCGAATAATACCCGACGCGCAAACGGATAAAGAAATTGCAATTTCCGGGAAGATCCGCGCTGATGAACGTAAACTTTTATCGTTCTATATTGGCCCAGAATATTTTCGATTAAACTTTAAGGAGAAGTCGTGTAAAAATATATTTATTTTTGGGGGTTTTGTTTGGCAATCCCCTCGAACGGAAGTTTTACCGACTGGTCGATAAATTTCATTGCTCCTTAACACGTTCGTTGCCACGTTCACGCAATGTTACGGACATCCTGTTTCCCGAATATCTTGTTTTCTATCTAAACCCTGTACTTATCGCGCCCGGTACCGTTTCGTACTAAAAGAACCGGACGAGCGGATCGAACCGACCCGTTTACAACGTCATAAATGTATTTAGATTTAGGGGCTGATACCCGAGAATGGAATTTTTATTCGGACTTACGCGTTTACTTGCTCTTTTATCCCTGTATTTTATTTTATAAGGGGACTCGATACCGAGGAGAGACGTTTATGGATTTTCTATCCAGCGAAAATTAAATTACTATTTGATTCAAATATATCTCGATGCAAATTTTTATTCGTTCGAGAGTTTTCCATTGAATCGCACAAATACTATGCAGGGTGCTCGACCATCCCTGGGAAATATTTTTATGGGAGATTCTAGACGGTAAAATAAGACGAAGATCAGGAAAACGAGGAATATGATCACAAATCTCTCGCCACACATTATATTTTTAGAAAAGAATTTTTTTCTCGAAAGTGTGAAGGATTTCAAGGGTACGTCTATTGACAAAAATGATTGCAATTGGCCTCCCCAGCTAACAATAATTTTTTTAGAGCGATTTGAAATTTTTTTTTTTTCGTCGAAATATTTAAGCACCTGTCGATTTTTCTTAAGAATGTGCTTTTGATTTTTAGTAAGTTTGTTTGACGTATTATAGAAAAGTTGTCTAATACTTTTTTGTAGGTACCCACGAACACTACTTCAGAAAAAAGTTTCATTGAAATATATTCACTATTGTGGGAGTTATGGCTGTTTGAATATTGGACCATTTTCATGGGGTTTTTCTCACTTTACGGGGTCAAGGAACAACTTTTTGAATATTGTTAGAATTTCTACATATTCTACACTAAAATACGCGTCGTTTGCCTTTTTAAACATTAAAATCCTCCAATCCGTTCAGAAGTTATGACGTTTTAAAGATAGGCAAGAAATTTCAGGGAAACATATCGACGTATGGTCAGACATTACACCTTTCGGTAATGATTTTTTTTCTCGAAAGTGGGTAGGATTTCGATGGTATGTCTATTGACCAAAAATGATTGCAGTTGACCCCTGCAATCGAAAATAATTTTTCCAGAGTGATTTGAAATTTTTTTTTCGCCGAAACATTTCAGGGAAACATATCAATGTATGGTCAGACATTACGTCTTTCGGTAATGAATTTTTTTCTCGAAAGTGGGTAGGATTTTGGGGGTATGTCTATTCACCAAAAATGATTGAAATCGACCCCCGAAACTAGAAATAATTTTTTCAGAACGATTTGAAATTTTTTTTTTCGCCGCCTAAATGCACCTAACTCAAGAGAAAAATAACTGATTTCTAATTAAGAATATGACTCGAATCTACTTCGAAGAGTAATCTCCCTATCTCCCTAGGATACATTTGGCACGTAATCCGAGTTTCAAGAATTAATTAAAGTTCAGCGGATCCACGTATGCACTTTGAAGATAAGGAAACTTTATTTAACGTCAAGATACGTACACGAAGAATAAATACGTACGAAGCACAGCCCTTAGCTCGAGGGCTGGCTGTAAATATACCTAGAAAATTTGAAATTGATACGTCCCATAACTTCCTCCGAAAAAATCACGAGAGCAACTTTCGAGAACCCAATTTAGATAGACTCCATTAACGAAGAAATTCACCGCCTCTTTCGGAAGAAATCTTTTTCGGAAGAACTCTTTCCCCTTCACTCCCAGCGATCGATTAACGGGATTCTGGGAAGCATCGCGGTCTCCCCCATGAATCCTCGAAAGCGCTTAGCAAGTTTTCAAGATTATCGATGTTCCCGCGGCAGCGCAGTAACGAAGAGCCCGGTATTCCTGTGTCTCGGGCTCTCGTCACATACCCGGGATACCGTTTCCCTTGCCTCTCGGTCGTAGAAATTCCGTATACGTTTGCTCGAACCTTCGAAACTTTTCTTTATCCCGACGCCCATAAAATAGACTTTATACGTGCCTTGAAACTCCTGATGTATTCCGTAACTGTACGCCCCGACTTTCGACCTACGAAAGTAAACGTTTCCCGCGGTGAAGGAAGAAGGGGGGAGGAGAAAAAAAAAAGAAAAAAAGAAACTCGACCTCCGTGCGGAATACCGTCGTTGTTCCCTTTGCGAGGAATCAGCTCGATTACGCGAGCACCGGAATGGGGTTGCGGTGA